CGCTCACAACCACGAATTTCTCATTTTAAGAAATGACGAATTGGATGGTTTTTAAACTTTTCAGAAGATAATTGAATAACGTCAGCACACAATAGCTCTGTCATCGTTATTGCGAAGCCATAATTATTGTCGTCATTATTGTTATTATTATTATCATCACTATCGGCGCTTCAATATGCCAGCTGACTGCATGAAACGTCGCAAATTATTTCTCTCTTCATCGAAACCAACAACAACGGTGGCTGTCGTATTGTACCACACAGTGCACATACAACATCCGTGAGCGATCATGTAACTCATCAGAATCACAAATCAAATCAGAATCAAATCAAATCAAAGCAATCGACAACTGCTAATCAGATCAACGATCAGATCATTTCACTGTCTTTATTCTCATTATTATTGTCATCATCAGCATTGTGATTATTATTATTATGATTATTGTTATCATCATTTCATTCATTAGCACTTCCCATTTTCAAATTGTTTCTATTGCTGACATTGTAAGCTGGCGAATATTTTCTCCATTTGAAAGTTATCGTCAAGAAAGTTCATGAGAAAGAATGCGATTACAACACTGTTTCAATTCGATTTGTCGCACAGAAAACACTGTGGTTCAGTCGGGCAATCAAACAGTCAACGGTACAAGTACAGTTTCGATAGTCTCAGTTTAGCTGGAAGATTGGAATGCAAATGTAAATGTTATTAATCCTGTTCCACTTTGAACATTATTCGTATGATTTGATGTAACGATGATATTAATAATAATCATTTCACTCAGAGGAGGAAACTGCAGCTAATGTACATCTGATCTAACGTTTGGGAGTTTTGATGAGACTTGCTTAAAGAGCTGAGTGTAGCTGGAGATTTTGAATTCGACTGAAAATTGCTGATGACAAATGCGTGATTGATATTTTACAGTGCACATAACACGCATTAAGGAATGGAGAACAAATGTTTGAGATATGTTTATGCTTTGGAACGGAACGTTCTTCTGAGACACACACAAAAAACAAAATTTCAAATTAGGAAACGACAAGAACGTTAAAGAGAATTTTGTTGGTGTCTTTGCAGAAGTGAATACGGTTGTGAGCTTAGGCTGATC